GAGGAAGGTATGAAATTACAATTATGTGGAATTATTGAAAAATAACAGTCTGATGCGCGGAGAGATTGACAGGATCGGGTCATAACTGTAATGTGAATATTAGGAAGATTTATCATCATCAAACTATTCTTGAATTGACCTGGAAGAATGCTTGTGAATAATTGTTATACAGATAAATTAAATTGATAAACTAAATGGTTCAAACAACAACTCCAGCCTGTAAAAAAGCTGAAAATAGGGAATCTTTACAATGTGGATCCCCGACGGTCTTCTACTTAGTAAGCAAAAGCGGCAGCCACCAGGCTAGTCGATCTGCTCAATTTAAATATTGAAACCTTATTTTATGAAGTTCTTAAGAATACCAATTGAAACACAATGTAAACAAATAAAAGTTAAGAGTCTCATCCGAATCAAATGATTCCAAACGATACGCATTCATAGAAATTAAGTTTAAATAGACAAAAGTAGAAAAATGGAACAATCTCACCAAATCAGTCCAACTGAATCCCTTGCAAGCAGCTATGTCACGCTTGGTGTAGTAGCTCCGATCATAGACCCGCCCTACGGGGATCAATCCTCTGGTCGAATGTAGTCGATTGCTCCATGACGCGAACACGAAGCGACCGCTCACAAAATCATGCAACGCGTAAACAAACTGAAATCAAAAACTATCACACGCGACGCCACAAATTTCTGTACCGGGAGCACAAGCGAAGAAAAAAAAACAAACAACGCAGATAGCGACACTTCTTCTGATGCCTGCAAACATGATGCATCACGTTTTCTTTTTCGATTCCAAAACTTCTCGGAAAGCGAGAAAACCACCAATCACACACGTATAACCGTCCGGGAGGCAGAGTGCCAGCGCTAATCTGGCAAAATCAGCGAACGCACGCACAAAACAGAAATAAACTTATACACAACCGTATCCGAACAGGTTCGAAGCTGAACTGCCCGTTCATCAGGATTCATATACTTGTTCAAAAATTACCGAAGATGGAACGTGACAGATGTGAAAAAATTCTGCACACTCACATTTTGATAGACGATGAAACTTACGTTAAAATGGACTTTGGACAAATCCCGGACTAAAAATTTTACTTTGCTAAACGTAAGGGGGATGCTCCGGATAAATTCAAATTTGTCTTTGCAGATAAATTCACTCACAAGTTGATGATGTGGCAAGGCATCTGCAGTTGCGGAAAGAAAACAAAGCTTTTCATCACTGGAGCGACTATGAAAGGACAACTTTACAAGGAGGAGTGTCTCTAGAACATAATTTTGCCTAGTTGAAGATGCTAATTTCAAATAACAGACTGTAGTGGTAATTTTTATACGATAGATGGAGTAGATGAAAGCATAGAGTTGATAGTTCCGTTAGAGTACGGCAGTGTGAAGATTGTATATAGATATTAGACAAGCGAGCTAGGACAACTTTTAAGGAAGGTACAAATCGGTTTTTTCATCTCTCTTTACCAAACTCCCCCTTTGGAGATGGATGGTGAGGGGTGTCCCCCCCCCCCGCCACCACTGGCAAAAAGAGATGAAAACCGACCCGCTCATGTACCAACTGTGTGTTTGAAACAGTTCTACCGATTTTTTACCGCACTTCAGTTGTTATTTTGAAGGAAGGCATCCAGTCGTAGGTTTGGACATTGCAACTATTGTTTACCCCTACCACGATATGTGCTCCTGTCATAATTTTGCCGTTCATTCAATCACACAAAGGTCCCGTAAAATTCTGGCCTGACTTAGCCAGCTGCCATTACAGCCGCGATGTCATAGAATGGTATAAGCAGAATAATGTCGATTTTATTGAGAAAAGTATCAATCCACCAAATTGTCCAGATTTTCGTCCCATTGAAAAATTTTGGCCAATCATCAAGCGCAAATTGAAGAAATGGGGCAAAACAATTAAAACACCATCTGATTTGGAGAAGTGGTGGAAAAGGATGGTAGATGAAGTTGACAGTACTACTGTGCAAGCAATGATGATAGATATTCCGCAAAAAGTTCGAAAATTCATCCGAAAAGCTGACGAATAGTTTTCCCCCTCCTTTTCCCTTAAAGCTAAATTAAAATCAAACCAAATGATACCTTTAGAGTTTTGTACTTTATTTCCCCTTGGAGAAATGACCTATTTTGTGCGGCCAAATTCTAAATAGAACAGCATTTATTTCTGTTAAAAATGCATAAAAAACTGAAATTCTGCATTTGGAAGTTGAGTGTATATACAATGGTTGCTATGATGAGTTTTCACTGTTTGCTCTCCAGTTTTCAAAATGACATCCAAGCAAGTGGAGCACTGGATGTGTCCAAATCGACCTTAACAAACGTTTTAAAAGTGTTCGTGGAGCGTCTGTTGACCACCAGGAAGCCTGGAAGCGGCGGCAATTGTAATCTGGACGTAGCAGCGACGACGAAGAAGGCGGCTGTGAAATATAAGCGGAATCCTAACCTCCCCATCCGGGACGTCGCTGGCAAGCTCAATATCTCCCACACTACTGTGCAGTGGGCCAAAAAACGAGCCGGGTTGTCGACGTTTAAGAAGGTGAAGGTGGCGAACCGATATTACAAACAAAACACGTCGGCAGAGCAGCGGTCCCGAAAGCTCTTTACGAATCTGCTCACAAAGTTCGACTGTGTCGTTATGGACGACGAAACTTATGTGAAGGCGGATTTCAAGCAGCTTCCGGGACAGGAGTTTTATACCGCATCAAGTAAAGGAAAGGTGGCTGAAATTTTCAAAACCATCAAACTATCGAAGTTCCCGAAAAATATCTCGACTGGCAAGCCATATGAACGTGTGGTCTAAAAAGCGGCATTTTCATTACTACGGGAACCATCAATCAAGAGATCTACGTCCAGGAGTGCCTGGAAAAGCGGCTGCTACCATTCCTAAAGCAATATAATAGACCTGTGCTGTTCTGGCCGAACTTGGCGTGTTCTGGCCGGATGCGAACAACGTGGTTGTGGTACCCAAAGACCACAACCCTCCCAACAGCCCAGAACTTCACCCTATCGAACGGTATTGGGTCTTGGTCAAACGGAATAATAAAAAAAAAAACTAATAAATCCATGGAAAACGAGCAGCAGTTTAAATCTAACTGGCGTTCGGCGGCGAATAAGGTCGATGAGACCATTGTGCAAAATTTAATGCAAAGGGTTAAGCGGAAGGCACGGTAGGTCGGATTTGGCAAACCAAAAGAATAATCGAACATTTTTTCCTTTTAATATATGAATTGAACATCCAAAATAAAAAAAAGAAGATTTTTGTGTTATGAATTTTGACTGAAAGAAACGGTTTTTTTTTTGTCAACCAATTTTTGCGCGTTCCAGTCTTTAGATAATGATTTGGGAGAATAGAAATGAAAACTTTTGAGAGAGAATAAACCATTATTTGGATGATATCTGAATAGTTACTATCCGCCTGATAACCAAAGCAGAATTTCACGATTTCTTTTTGCAAGTGAATTTCATGAAAATTCGATGGAAAACTACAGTGAATTATGAAAAAAGCTTCATTGACTTCTTGAAAGAATAATTTAAAATTTAAAAGTAATCTTAGGATGAATTGCATGATTGTTAATAGGAGTGTTCTGCTTCCAATGTTTCTTAATTTCAATTGATACAATATTGAGTAGTGGAAAGCACGATTTTGTCTATACTGAATTCGAATTCAACGGTATTCCTTTTGTCTAAAAGTAATTTTATTGTAAAATACAGAAGTATTCGGATAGTTGCAGTCCTAGCTCTAGTAGTAATAGGAAGCTCTTAATTAACAACAGTTGAAGTGCTTCAAACAACACTAAGTTCTTCTTTTCCATTACTTAACGTCGGTATCTGTTCCGCAATCTAGTGCCAATCACCGACGGACATCGATTGCCATCCATTGACGACAATCGAATGTGCAGGAAGGCAGCTCCCACACCTGCGTAGGATATCGCACCCATTCAAACATACACATGGGCCGGGACCAACGGCTTTACTTTCCTTCCGAAGGAAGACGTGACCAGAGATTTTTATGCCTCAGAAAAATCCCACCGACCTCGGCTGGGATTGAACCCAGACCCATTGGGGTGAGAAAGCAGTCACGCTTACCACTACACTACCGGCGCCGGCCCAACAACACTAAGTTGACAGAAGGCAAAACGCTCGTGTAAGAATCGTAAATAAAAGGAAGAAAAAAGATGGTTTAAAGGTAGGTGAATTATTTCAACTTTTTCAATTGCTTCATAGCAAGATAAGTTAGATAAACCGTATTCAGCATTTCCAGCGACCAAAAAGTTCCATCATGTTTGAACCGATTTTTAAGTCAAAATCAACAGAATTCCAATGATAAAGCAACTTTGCTTCATGCTAAAGGGCATTCTTTCCGCATATGCACTAAGCACAACCTCCGCTCTACACCTCTTTCTTGAACGGGTTTTAACAATAAATGAAATATTTCTATCAAATATAACTTCTATATTTATCCCCCTTTTCATACGTACCGTTGAATTTGATAAAGAGCCACACATTGTTGAGATATTGTTAAAAATCTGACACTGTTTCACATTCCAAATTCGTCCTACGAGTTTCAATTCCGTCCAAACACATTGAAATGCCATTGGATTTTCATCGTCCTACGGATGGAGGTAGAAAAAGCGAGTTCGCTAGGAGCGCTTCTTTTGTTTTGAGAACAATTAGTGTACATAATACGCTCTAATAGGCTTTGTGTTGTAACTTGTGAACTAACGCATCAGTGCACGGTGAAATCATTGATTGTACTGATGTTTTCTGCTCGATAGAACGAGAATGGACGAGTACGACAAAGTAGCGCTCTACCCTATGCATTTCAATCCCACCGAAATTGAATTTCGAGTTCGTTAAGATGAGACTACACAAAACGCATATCCTTAAATTATTAAGAAACAATGGATATGCTGGATTCCGTGCTGTCATGCCTTTATTTCTGATAGGTTAACTGTTCCATACAATATTCAACAACAATATCCTCATACTCTTCTACACAGCAGTGCACTGAGTCTAGTCTAGTTTTCTGTATATTGACCAATTTTTCTTAAATGCTAGGTACAAAAATCGATGTCATGTCATGTATTGCCGTTTGGATTTATCAGTGTTAACAATAGTACGGTATAAATTTCAACAATTTAAAGATAAAAAACTTATTTCAACTGCACCAACACCATGAAGTAGGTGACGACCGCTCCCAGAACCTGTGAACAACGTGAATGAAGAGAACGAAACGAATCATTAATTACGTTGGTCTATTTTTTTGCAGCTTTTTCTTATATACGGTGCTAGCTTCGATCGATTGATTTTCATCATTTCGTACCCGCCTCCCTAACCCCCTTCCAAACTCACCGATGCAAACAGATCCAGTGAAACGGTGAAAAACTTTGCCCCGGAAATGGTCATCGCCTTCTGGCACTGTTGGCAAACGATCTGCACGAAAGTTTTCGCCTCCTCGGACCCGTCGTACCAGTGGCACGAATAGGCCGCCTCCATCACCGATGAGCTCTGGTCTCGATAAAGTGACAAAACAAAAATACGGAAAAGAGAGAGAGAGAGATAGAAATTTTATTTAATTGCGAGTTCAGTTTTGGGCTCCGATAAACTCAATTTGGCCTACCTCCTCAATCAGTCGGTTGCCGAATATGCAGAACAGGAACACCTGAGCCAAAGCGTACACCAGATAACCGATCACGGTCAGACCGTACACGTTGAGTCCATCGATTTTGGTAGCCTGGTAGGCCAGCAGGGTCAGCTTGATGGTCGAGGTCAACATATGCAGCAACAGGGCAGCACCGTAGGTATCACCGATGGCCGACACGAGGCTGGTGGTGATGGTGGGACGGGGTGGCGATTCCATGGAAATGAAAACGAACGACGGAAAATGAACGCCGGTTCTCGGACTTGGATAGTAATTATATGCTTGGACAGTATTCTGCTTCGGATGTATAGTTTAATGATTGAATAAATAATGGAATAATATTGATTTTTGGTAAGAGAAGTTTACCACCTGTTGCCATGAAAGATGGTACACTTAATAAACTAGCATTCAGGACTTATTTTCACCAGTCACTATGAGTTACATTATAGCAAATGCTTAAAAATTATTCAAACAGATGGTGTCTACAATATTGATTATCGTTTACTCAAATTGAAAAAAAAAACGCAGGTCACCCATATAATAGGTCGTATGAATAAAAGCGTTTACTTTACTTTTCCCGTAAGAAAAGCACGGGAAAGTAAAGTAAACTCTTTTTATTCATAGAGATCTCCAAGCACAATCTCACGAACACTAAAATCCAACATCCATACGAAAAAACGAAGAAGAAGAAGAAACAAAAAGGTATCGCGATATCACAACTACTTAAAAAGGTAGCGCGCGGTCTCACGCACACTTTTGTGTATCTGGAGAACTCTATACGGCCCAATGACTGAAAAAAAATCCTTCGATGTTCTTCAAATGTCTGCACTGCCGATGAGAGTAACTCAGTAACTGAGTCGAATTCAATTCAAAATTGCAAAAAGTGGCGTTACTTAGTGAATAAGTAAAATTTAACTCACTTTTCCAGGAAAAACTGTTTGAATATAAGGAAAATCGACCAAAATTTTACTCCAGTGTAAGAGTTTATCAATATACTGAGGGGAATTTCCTCATATTCAAGATGATTTCCTGAAAAATCTAAGAACATTTTACTGTTTCACTGAGTAACTTCACGTTTTTAGCCATATTTGACTCAATTTTGAAATGTTCACATTGGCCGTGTGTTGTGACGGCCGAGAGTAATGATGAATACAACAGCTAATCGACGAATTCAATTTATTTAACCACTTTTAATTAATAACTTTTACATCTTCATCCGCGTCTCCGGACATGATTTCGGCGTCTCTCCAGTAACTGTACCGCACTTCATCTTTTTCTGTTCACACACGTACAAGGCTCAATGACAACTCGGGAAGGTGAGTAATTCAAGGTATTGGCAAAATAAATCAAGATACTGAATGCTAAGGTGTAACATCTCTCCCCCTTGAGAAAGAAAAATTCTTCGAGCCCGTTGCAAAAATTAAAAAAAAATCACAAATCACAAATTCAATTTTGTTGGAGCCTTCACCACCCTGGTAGAACGCCTCAAGGGTTGTGCGACTTCCGTTGCTGGGATTGATCCAGTCCTAGTATTCGAAGGGCCTTCCATTGGATCTGGATCAGGTTCCGCTGGTCGTTGATCAACTTGCATCTCCGGAGTACAGACCGGAGCAGTTGTTGACGTTTCCTTGGTATATTCAGGAGTAGCTACTCCTGACGGAGAAGCAGCCACCCCCTGACTACAGTACTTTCCCGGTCTGGCACTATTCGGTGAAGTATCCGGAAGATGAGCGCCCACACCGACGATATGGTCGATATGACGCTCCCAGCACCGCCCGTCATCCAAGCGGACAGCATACCGAAGTTTTCCAACTTTCTCCGCAATCTTTCCAAACTTCCATTTGTCAGCAGACAAAAAATCTCGAACACGCACACGATCACCGACTTTGAATTCTCGTACTATGTAGTTCTTCGCACTAACGACCTCGTTCTTCGGTAGCATTAAGTCAATTCTTGATCTTATCTGTCGACCAAACATCATCATAGCGGGTGATTGTCCAGTCGTAGGATGTATCATCTTCCGGTATACCAATAGTATGTTGCAGAGTTCCACATTCAGCTGCATCTTTGTGCACTTTAGTGACTTCAATTTCTGCTTCATTGTTTGAACATAGCGCTCAGCTTGCCCATTTGTTGCAGGGTGATAGGGCGCTCCCATCTTGTGAACTATACCGTTCATCCGCAGGAACTGCTGAAATTGCTCGGATGTAAACTGAACACCGTGATCGCTCACAAGCACCGACGGTATTCCAAAAGTACTGAAAATTTCACGACACATCCGGATTGTGCTATCGGTAGTGATGGAGCTACATACTCGAACCTCCGGCCATTTGGTATAGGCATCGACCAGAATGAAAAAGTATGTGTCCATGAATGGTCCCGCGAAGTCGACATGAACTCTTTGGAACGGTGCAGTAGGGGCTTCCCAGCAGTGTAATGACATCTTCGCCGGCACGGGTCTCACCGACTGACACTCGACACAACTTGCGATCATCTCCTCAATAGCACTGTCCATTCCGTTCCACCAGCAATATCCTCTTGCTAATGACTTAGTCCGCGTTGTTCCAAAGTGCGTAGAATGCAACTCCTCGAGAACTTGCTTCCGTAGAGAATGTGGCACATACACCCATATACCACGCAGCAGACAGCCTTTTTGCAGAGTGAACTCGCTCTGGTCAATTCCAAATCTATCCTTTCCCTCGACCAGTACACCGTATTTGATTCCTTGAATTAAATTCCTTACGGTTGAATCTTCAGCAGTTGCTTGAGCTAATTCAGCAACAGTAAGTGGAAGTGTTTCGATTTGGTACATTTCTACTAAGTCCGACTCTTCAATCACGTTATCTGCGTCAGCTAATTTCAGTGGAATTCGAGACAAAGCATCTGCATTGGCATGGTTCACCGACTTTCGGAACCGTATTTCATAATCAAATGACTGCAAGTAGGTTGCATAATGCTGCATCCTCAGGGCGGACATAATAGGCAATCCTTTGTGCTCCCCGAATATTTTGGTTACTGCTTGATTGTCTGTAACCAAAGTGAATCTGCGACCGTACAGAAATTGGAAAAATTTCTTGACGCCAAAAATTATCGCGTACGCCTCTTTGTCCACGTGTAGGTACGCTTGTTGGGTTCGATTCAGCGTTTGGGATGCAAACTGAATCGGACGCTCCGAACCATCTGGGTAGATGTGGCTAAGTACGGCTCCAACTCCATATGGCGATGCATCGGTAGCCAACAGCAGGGGCAACTCGAAGGAATAATGTACGAGGCAGGTTTCCGCTTGCATTTGTTCCTTCACAGCGTGAAAAGACTTCTCACATTGCTTACTCCATACGAACGGCACATCGTTTTTAAGAAGGTTGTTCAGGGGATAGAGCACAGTACTCAGGTTCCGGAAAAATCTACCATAGTAATTGATAAGACCAACAAATGAACGTACCTCGTCCTTGTTTTCCGGTCTCCGCATCTCCTGGATTGCCTCTACCTTTTTCTGGATCTTGTGGATGCCCTTACAATCGATCAGATACCCGCAGTACTCTATCACATCCGCGAAAAACTCGCATTTGTCACGGTTGACTCGAATGTTATTTTCATCCAGACGGCGCAAAACTTCCTCCAATCGACGCAAATGAGTCTCGTCATTATGTCCAGTGATCTTGATGTCATCCAAAAATACACTGACACCCTCGATTCCTTGCAGCAATGCCTCCATTTGTCGTTGCCAGATGGCAGGCGCCGATGCCACCCCGTACATTAGACGGCTCGGACGATACAGACCTCGGTGAGTGCTTAGGGTAAGAATTTCACGATCCTCCGGAGCAACTTCCATTTGCAAGTAGGCCTGCACTAGGTCAATTTTGCTAAATTTCTTCCCGCCAGCCAGGGAGGCGAACAGCTCATCCACCGTTGGAAGCGGGTGCTTATCCACCACCAGATTAGGGTTGACAGTTTGTTTATAATCCCCGCAGATACGTACACGGTTGTGGGATTTCTTTACTGGCACAATCGGCGTCGCCCAATTACTGTGGTTGACCTTTACCAACACTCCTTCAGCTTCTAATTTGTCGAGCTCAGCTTCAACAACCTTTTGCAGATTGAACGGAATTTTACGTGCTTTCAGGAATACAGGACGGACATCATGCTTCAGTGGCAGGTTCGCTTGAACACGGGAGATCTTACCGATGGAATCCTCGAACACTTTCGGAAACTTTTGCAGCAGCCTTTCCACAGTAGCAGCAGGATATTCATATGGAGTACCTTTATCTATCTCGTTAACTGCACTTTTCTTCAACAACAGTGTGTTCCAATCGACCGGCATACGACAGAGCCATTCGCGCCCGATCAACGGATGTTTTTCCGACTTCACGATGTATAATGGTAATAGTAAGTTTTGTCGATCGAATTCAACACACGCGTCCATTATCCCGAGCATTTCAATGTTTGTGTTGCAATAGCTCACGAGATTCACATCGCACTTCCGCAAGTTCGCTCCCGCGAGCAGTTTTTTCCAACAATTCACACTCACGATGGTAACGGGCGATCCTGTATCTACCTCGAAACGTAAGTCAACTCCATTTACGCGCACTTTCAACCAAAACTTTTGATTGTCCGATATGGAGTTCACCGAGCATACTTCACGAACTTCGGAATCACTGCAGTCTTTTCCGAGATCATCGACGAAGTTCGTTTGCACTGTGTTTTGCTTACCCGCCGGTCGTGAACCACCAGGCTTTGCCCCAGATTTCTTCAAGCACACTTTTTCTAGGTGTCCTTTAAGTCCACAGAATCTGCATTCAGTTTGTTTATGCTTGCAAGCATTGGCAAGGTGCGACTTGTCACCACAACGATAGCAGCTAATATCACTCCCAGCGGCCCCTTTTTGAACAAAACGCCTTTCCCCTTCGTTTAATTTGCTCTTCGACTTGTTCCGCTTACCTGGCTGGTGCTGCATTTTGTGGACTTCCTGCTTACCTTGGCTGCCTTCAATTTCAGCTCCACCTTTCTTTGAGAGTTCCATACCCACAGCGATATCACGAGCATCCTGCAGTGTGAGCTCTCTTTTTTTCAGCAGCCGGCTTCGAATGTCGTTCCTCTTAATGCCAAACACCAACTGGTTCCGGAGTGCAGTTTCCAGATACTGGCCAAAGTTGCAAGTAACTGCAATCCGTCGAAGTGCAACCA